AGGGGTGCCAAGGCTCCTTTGCATCCTGTCTCCGGAGCTTGAGGAGTCCTCAGAGACTCCGGAATTCATGGCAGTGAGCAGCAATGGGTAGACCGGCTGCCTGTGATCCCTGGCTCTCTGCTGCTCCGTGGAGGGTGGAGGGGGCGGACTTCCTTCTCACAGCAGAGACCCCTCCCCGGGGAGCTGAGCAGCTTTGCCTGGAGGAGCCTGGGCTCTTCTGGGCTGAGCTTTGCTGCTTTCCTTTCCCTGTCATGCTGCTGGAACTCGGGAAAGAGACATTTCCATGGGAACTCACGGATTGGAGGGATCCCAGCCAGGCTCCTGGTGGAAGAAACTTTGCAGAGAAAGGCATAGTGGCTCAGTAGTATTTCCACCCAGTCCACAGGGGCTGTTCTCACTGCCCAGGGCTCACATGCCATGAGCCCTGGAAGAGGCACCAAGTCACTCCCAGCTCCCAGTCCCTGTATCTCCTTTTTTTTGGCTCTGTCACCCAGGCTAGAGTGCAGTAGTGCAATTTGATCTCAGCTCACTGCAACCTCCACCTCCCAGGTTCAAGTGATTTTCATGCCTCAGCCTCCCAAGTAGCTGGGACTACAGGCACGCACCACCACGCCTGGCTAATTTTTGTATTTTTAGTAGAGATAGGGTTTCACCGTGTTAGCCAGGCTGGTCTCAAGCTCCTGACATCAAGCGATCCGCCCACATCAGCCTCCCAAAGTGCTGGGATTACAGGTGTGAGCCACCGTGCCCAGCTAGTCCCTGTGTGTTTTGCTGGCAACTGGAGACTGCAATGCCGGTTCCCTCCCAGGTCTGTTGGGAAGAAACAATCTTGGAATGATAAGCTTGGAACCGAGACTATATATCAGTGAGCCCAACCATGAGGCCTGGATTCAAATAGGAGCCCTGCCCTCCCAGGATAACCCAGGACACATCCTTCAACCTCGGGATTCTCATCTGAAGAATGGCCAGGATAAGAGTCTCTTTCACAGAGTGGTGGTTAAAGCAGAAATTGGAGATCGTCAGTAAACGGCTGTGCTTCGTGCCTGAGTGTGTAATACCAGAGCCACCTTGTGTTAAGCACTTTCTAGGAGTCAAATTGATTTCAAGCATTAGTTCACTAAATCGTTAGACCAAGCCGAGGTATTGGAGAACATTCTAACCTCCATTTTCCAGATGAAACAACTGAGGCTTGGCAAGGTGAGTCACAGAGCCAGGAATGGGACCCCAGGGCTGCTTGACTCTGAAGCCCCAGATTTCAACTGTGACTGTATTAGGTGCTCATTTAAGATCTGGAAGGACCGACAAGGTTCAGCCACATCCCATTCCGCAGCTGAGAAAACTGAGACCCAGAGCAGGGAAGAGACCAGTTGAGTCACAGAACTGCTGGTGCTGGAACCAGGCCTAAGGTTCCACAATTGCTGCTCACATTTATCGAGCACTTACTGTGTGCTAGGTTCGAAATTGCTTTCTGTCTATCGTTGTATTTGATCTTGACCATAACTCTAGGAAGATGGAGACTATTATAATCCCATTTTTCATTTGGGTAAAGTGAGGCAGAGAAGGAAGTAGCTTACTCAAGGTCACACAGCTAATTAGCGGGAGAGGTACAACTCATACCCAGAGAGTCAGGCTCTAGGGCCCTCATCCAAGCCGCTCTATGGCACTGTCTCCCAGCCAGGGCAGGCTGGCCTTGCCCGGCAGCCTGGGGCCTAGGCTGACTTGCCTGCCAAGGGGGTGGGATCTGCATGACTCCTACGGTACAGCTGCCACTGGGCAAGGCAGGGTGCGACTGAGCTGCAGTACTCAGGGAGACGGGCACGGAGCTGGGACTGGCAAGCTCCGTGTGCTCGAAGGCCATTAGCCCCCTGCCTCTCCGAAGAGAAGTTTATCCAACAAAATGCAGGCTAGCAAAGAACACGTTCCGCTTTATGTGTCTCTTGTTGTAGGCAGTGCACATCTTGGGAGATGTGTAGATGAAAGGCGCCATATAAAATGCAATCAATTATGAATCACCATTACTGAATTAATCACATGTATGATTAATACACTAATAATAATTAATGGGAGTATGGGCTAGAGATTAGAGCTGAGGACTGACAGGGAAGGGTCAGATTGCTTCTAGCAGCCTCTGCCACTGCCTGGAGGTGTCACCTTGGGGAAGGCCTCAGGTTCCCCCTTCCCCTACCTTGGCAGTAGAAGGGGTCCCAGGATGTCCTGAACACCCCTAGATGGTCCCGGGCACAGGATCTTACCACTTCCTTAACAGCTGCATCTCAACTGCTCAAGGTCAAGGGGACAAAGAGTTTCTCAAAGAATCAAAATCTTGGCCTGGCATAAGTGAACAGAGTGAGCGAGGAGAGGGATGAGAACTTGGTAGGGGTGTCCTTTGAGCTTGCACTTGACTTAAATCAGCAATGTGAGCTCATTTTTTCTGTCTGTCTGTCTGCATCAGGATGTGTCTTCTCTTGGAAGTCCCCAGAGGGCCTGGACCTCATCTGTTACCTCTCATTACAAAGCTGGTAGATTATTTTTGCTTGTGACTTTATAATTTCCTGTTACTCATCTATACCGTGCATATTTCCTCATTGTAAAAGAGTCAAGCAACCCAGAGAGGATATCTATAATAAAGCCCATTGGTCCCCCCTCATCTCCCCTGTTCATACTTTGGTGTGTATCTTCATTGTCCACATATATAATGGATGTGTCCATATATAGAGAGGACTTGTATACAATCATATGGATATAATCATATATATGTATGGTTATATACAAATCCTTTTAAAAAATATAGATGGAATAAAATTAAATGCATTGTTCTGCAGATGCTTTTTGATAGCAAATTCCGCATACACAATTCAAATTAAAACTGTGCATTGGAGCCAAAATCCCACCAGTGAAGAGGATGATTAGGCTGCTGGTGAGAGGGGAGCCAGCGGTTATTTTCGGGGAGATTCATTAACACTTTCCTGCCCCTGGTGCTCAGCTTCTTTTCATGGCTGGAAAAAGGTCATTTTTCAGAAGCTACCTTAATGAAGTTTAAAAATGAACGTCCCTCAACCACCTGGTCCCCGCATGGCTGAAATCCTATTTGTTCCCTATCCTGGAAAATAAGTGCTGTATGGTTCACTTAAAAGGAACATCGTCTCCTGGAGGCTGCTGTGGAGTGCAGTCAACTCAGGATCATAGCACAGGGACCACCCTCCTGGGCAAATCCCCTCATCCTCAGATGGGGAAACTGAAGCCAAGAGCAGGGAAGGGATCTTCCCCAGCCACACACAGTGTGGTAAGTGCTGAGCCAAGAAAAGCCCATTATCCCAACTCTCAGTGCAGTGCTCTTTCCATTATCCTGGGGTCTGGAAATGAGACCAGAAGACAGCTTCTGGCGTAGGTCCCCGAAAAAACCCTGTTGGCATCAGCTTGTTGCAGAGGCAGGGAGTATTGGGGGGGTGGGGGCTGGCGGGGAGGCACGTTAAAAATTGTTTCTAGTAGCACATATCTTTGCATACGGATCACTGAAACCCTCCTGGCAGTGCTAGGGAGGAGGCACCCCTGGTCCCTCTGCTGTGTTTAGATGAACTACAAATAAGAAGCGGCCCCTCCATCTCTTTGGCTGTTCCTGACAGCGTCCAGTCCACAGTGATGATGGAGGAGCAGGGCGGTTCCCAGGGATTGATGACCCTGCCCCGGGGTGACAGCAGGCTGAGGGCTGACCCTGGTCATCACTCACCCTGTGCAGGAGCCCCACGCCCTGCCCTTCACTGCTGCCTGCAGGCTGAGTGCTTAAAAATCACGCCACTAAGATCTGTTCTCTTCTCCCAAGGAGCTTCCTCCTGCATAGAACAGGTAACTAGGGGCTGGCCCATGTCTGCCTTCCTGAGCTGCTTGGTGGGATAGGCCCATCTCCAGTGGTAGGCATCTGAGAGCGTGTGCAGGTAGAGGCACACAATGGCCCTGTTTTGACCCCTCTTTGAAGAAAGAAGGATTTACCATTCATATCTCACATATGGGGAAACTGAGCCCCAAAGCAATCTGGGCCGTGTTCCAAGTTAATCAGCCAGCCAGGCCAGTGACAGAGCATCACCCAGGAACCCAAGAGCCCTGCCTCCATGGCCAGAGTCCTTAGCTATGTGACCTTGGGCAAGTTACTTAACATCTCTAACTTGAGGCTTTGCTACTAGCAGTGAAGTCACTGGGCTTTGGCGAAGATTCAGTGAATAATGCACACAAGCTGGTTTGCATGGAGTCTGGCATAAAACAGGTGTTCAATAAATATATTATTATTATTATTACAGCAGATGACAATTTTTAATTCTGCATCCTCTGCCTGTTATGTCACAATATTCTAAATATTATTCAGCAGTATAACTCCCTCTCCAGTTTTCAGGGCAGCTGAGAGCAGGGAAGGGTTAAGGTGGAGGTGAAGGGTGGCAGCAGGGCCGGGCACTGAGGTGCCATGTCTTGTTCCATTCCCAACACCCTCTATGACCTTGGGCTGGTCTCTCTCTCTCTCTCTCTGCCTCTCTCTCTGTCTGTCCTCAGGCCCTTTGTTCTTGATGCATCCAAATGATAGTGCTGGCTGCTCAAGGCTGCAGTGAGCCCACCCCAGGAGGCCAGGAGTGTCCGAAAACCACATGTGCTTCTGGAAGATGTGGAAACTCTCCCAGAAGCCCTGGGAGGCAGCCTGGTAGGAAACCACCCGGGGGTCGGAGAGTACAGGGCTGCCCGATGTGATGTTGCCGACTCGGTGGCCTCTGCCCTGGGTTGCTGCTACGGGAGCCCTCCCACACCTGCCTCCCATGCTTGCAGGGGAAGGAGGCAGAGAACCCCTTAGCCAGGCCCCTCCTGCCCCCCTACTCTGCACTCTCTGCAGAGCTGGCTTGGCTTCGTCAAAAGCAGGGCCCATCAGGGTGGAGGCGGCGATGTGTCAGCTGGTATTCAGGCTCTGGTTGTGCGCTCAGATCGCTCCCCCTCCCCATCTCCCCAAATCCACCCACCCACCCCGGTACCCACTGCTTGGGGCCTTCTGGGTGGCAGCACTTCACAGGGAGAGACCGAGGAGCAGCCCTGAGCCCCTGGCTGTGGGGGGTGGGGGAACTGACTCACTTGGCCCCCCTCCCTCGTGCCGATGGGGCAGCCCCCACACCCATGGGTGCTGGCACCCCAGCAGGCCCCCAGGTTTTGGAAAAGGAAGCTGCAGCCCGGCTGCGCCTGACCGGAGCCGGCTGAGGATGCGCTCTGGGCGCAGGGACCCGCTGGCCCCCGGGCCGGGAGGCGATGTTTAGGCAGCGACCCCCCAGAGGCTGCCAGGGCCACCCTGGCCGCGGGCCCGCGGGGACTCCCTTGCTCGCCGCGCCCCTCCCCGGGCCGTGGCGCGTCCCCCGAGCCGCGCAGTATTTCCTTCCTGCACCTTTAAGAAGACCGTTGCTCCGTGGTGGGATGGTGTGTTAAAGCCACACAGAGGAAGTTACGCAGCCCGGATCAGACCGAGAGATAAAAGCCCCGATGGTGATCGTGAGTGATGGCAAGAGGATTTAGCCTCGGCATTAACTTGGAGCGGAGTGCAGGGGGGCAGTGAAGCGCCCGCCATCTGGCCCGCGCCGCGCCGGGGGGATGCCCCGGCTCCCCGACGAGCCGCCGCGAAGCCCACCCGGGCCGGGGGCCGCCCGGCGCCGGAGCGCGGGTCCTCCCCGGGCCGCCCAGGGGGGCCAAAAAGTTTGCACTTGTTAGCGGCGACCTCCCGCTCCTCCCGGGCGGGCGATGCGGGCGGCGCGGGCGGCCCCCTCCCCCGGCCCGCGTCTCCGGGACGGCTGCGGGCGGCCCCCCCGGCGGCCGGAGGGCTCCCCGGCCCCGATCTGACGGCGGCGGCGGCGGCGGCCACAGCGGCGGGAGCGGCGCGGGGAAGGAGCAGCGGCTTGCAGCCCTCGGCCCGCGCCCCCACCCAGCGCCAGCCCGAGGGGGGAGGCGCAGCGCCGGAGGGTGGCGGTCCTCGGCCCTCCCGGGTCTCCGCGCCGGGAAGCCGCTCCGAGCCGGGGTAAGGCGGGCGGGGAGAGCCCGGGAGGCGGGCGGGGGAGAGGCTGCAGCTTGGCCAGGCTGGTTTCATTTTTAAAGGGCTTCGGTGACCATGCAGGCTTGCCCGGGCCCGGGAGCCACTTACAGCGGCCCGGCAAAGGCTCGGATGCAAAAGTTGTTTGGTGGCGGCTGCTACGAGCTGAGGACTGGAGTCGCCCCAGAGGGGTGTGTGAGGGTGCGTTCTTAGCAGCATCTTAAAGGGGTAGCTTGTCTTTCTGGCCGGCTTCCCCCGGGTCCTTTCCTTCGTGTGTGTGTGTGTGTGTGTGTGTGTGTGTGTGTGTGTGTCTATGTGTGTCGGGGAGGGATGTTGCAAGGATGCTCGGATGTGTCTCGAAAAAGGAAATTAACCCTACTCCCGCGCCTCTCCCCCACCCCAATTTCACCGCCACCGCTTAGAACCACCCCCATCCCGTGCCCTCCCATCTCTCTGCAAACTGGGAGCCTGTGAGTTGCACAGAGAAACTCCCGCGGCCGGGGCTGGAAACTTCTCCTGGCGCCGGGAGGGGGTCGGGAGGTGAGGGGGCGCAGGCACCGGCTTGGGGCCGGCGTGGAGTCGAACCTGGAACTGAGCGGCGCGCAGGTTGGGGGAGCAGAGGCGGCGGGAAGGCGGGAAGAGAGGACCGCGGGCTCTCAGGGTCCGCCCGCTCTGGAGTAAGTTGGCCGTCTGGGCGGGGGGCGGCGGCAGCCGGGTAGCCGCAGGCTGCAGCGCCGGGGCAAAGGATCCAACTAGTTCCTGGGCGCCCTGCTCGGTGTCTTTTAATTAAGTAAGGCAGTGCCGAAAAAGGGGGCACCTCAGTCCGGGCCGGGCCTTTATTACAGGCTTAATTATTAATTGCTCCCGTGGCTTGCACGCAACTTTGGGAAGACAAAAAGCAGCTGCGGGGCTGCCGGGTCGTCGGTGTCCCAGGCTCGCAGCCGGCCAGAAGCACTGACTCGACCCCGGCCCCGGCCTCGACCCCGCCCGCCGGGACCCACCCGAGGCCGGATGCTCGCGCCCCGCCTCCCGCGCCCAACTTTCCAGGGGTCCTGCGGGCGGGGACCCAGGGGCCAGATAAAGGGCCCGCTCCGGAGCAGGGGACACCGGGGCTGCCGGAATTAGGACGCCCGCCGAGGCTGCGGTGAGCGCCGGGCGCCCGCTGGACCCCGCCCGGGGCGGAGGACGGGAAGGTGACCCCGCCGGCCAAGCTCCCTTTCCCTCCCGGCAACCCCCACCCTCCCCCGAAGGCAGATTTCACCCCCCTCCGCCGCCCCTGCCGAGGAGGGAGAGGGAACCCCGGGGTGGGCTGAGTCCCCTCCAGTCCCAGGAGCCCCCAGCGCCCTCTCTCCGGTGCCCCCAGGGGCCCCGCGCCCGCCGCGGCAAGTTTCCCACACGGCGAGGGCGCAGCCGGCAACTCCGAGAGGAACCTGCTGGCGAGCCCAGCCAGCTCGGGAGGCGCTAATTCAATAAGACAGAGAAATCTGAGTTCAGAAATCCTGATAAAATCTAATTTTCGGGTTTTAATACCCTGGCTATCAGCCCCCCTCGGTTCCTGAGGACTCTTAAAAGAAAATAAAGCACATTGATTCTATTTGTTTCTGGGAGCTGCAGTTTCTTAATAATATCAGGTGAAGATAAATTTTCCACGGAGAAAACGATCCTCCGGGATGCAGCCTTTTACTCTGAAAATTTCCCTGCCGACTCCTCACTCTCTGCGCTCCTCCTCGTTATCCGGGGACTCCTGTGTCTCTTCCCCCCTTCTCTTTTTTCTTTTTGGCAGAACCCGCCTGTAATATTCGTGTGCTGAGCTCATAATTCCCCCTGCGATGCCAGCAACGCCCAATTGATTGACTAGTTGTAAACACATTTTTCCCCTGGCAGATTTTGTTGTTGTTAGGGGTTTTTTATTTATTTATTTATTTTCCAGGGAATGCGTGGCATTTAAACCAACAGGACTGCAATTAATAGATTTGCGAGTTGCACCGCGCGCGCCGCTCGCCCCAGCCTCCCGGCCTCCGGGCCTCGCTGCCTCCCCGCGCCCGGCGGCGTCCAGCGCCCTGCAAGCCCCGAGCAGCCGCGGGTCCTGCAGCTGAAGGAAGGCGGCAGCTGCGCCCTGCTTGCAAGCCGCAGCCCGGCGTCCTGGTTGTCCCAGCAGCCAGGAGCTCCCTACCTGTTAGTGAACAGTTGGGAGTCGACTGCTGGAAGAATTAATTAGGAACGTGCTGTGCTCTGGGCAGCGCGAGCTCGGGTAGTGGCATCCAAACCTTTGCCGGCCGCGCTATTTTATTTTTACTACATTTTCTCAGGTTGCAAAAATAGACACCGGGCACGTTCTTTCTGAGAGTTTTCTAGCAAGGAGCGCCTTCAAGGCCGGGCAGGCTCTATAACAGGTTCCTCTTTAAACAGTCAGAGGTGAGACGGGGAAAATGGTCCTGGCTGGGTTCTCATTCATCTCCATCAGCAGCCCTTCACCCAGAGAGAGGGGCAGGGGTCGCCCTAATGCAGATGAATGGGTCCCATGCCTGGAGCCCTGGGGCCCTGGCTGGGGGCTGCTCCGAGCCTGAGGTGCTCAGGGCAGCAAGTGTCCGCCACTTCGGTTTGTCATTTTTGGCAGGAGCGTTTTTCTGTCTGGGTAGAGGCTGGAGTTTCATGGAAGCACAGTTAACTCTTCAGGGGCCTTGCATGCACAGAAGGTGAAGAGGATGTCAGGGGAGAGCCAGGCTCAGACTGGACATTTGGGGCGGTTTGGGAAGTCAAATGCAATCATCGGAGGCATAGTAACCAGAATAATTAATCATGCAGGCACTTCTGCTGTAACTTATTGCAGTAACCTTTGCCCTATTGGCCAATATTTTTGGCCAGAATCCCATGCTGGCTGGACTTGGATTCTCCGGGTGACGTATGCAGTGTCTGGAACACACCACAGTACTGTAGTCATGTTATTTCCCGATGTAACGTTCATGTAACTGGTATCTATTTTGATATAACAGTTATATCTATTTTGATTTTAAATAATTAACAGAAGCTTAAAATAGCACAGCAATAATCATAATAGTAACCCGTTGATAGACATACCCTCTAAGAATGATTTGCAAAATGCTGGCCTTGATCAGAAAAATCTGAACTCACAAAACATTTTCACCTCTTTGGCAGTCTTCAGTATCCCTAGTTTCTTACAGTTAAAAAAAAAAAAAATTAAATTTGCCATTTCAGATTGTGCCTATGATTGGGGAGCTGTTTCTCAGTGCCTGGCTCTTCATGGTTGGCCAGCACGTGGAGCACTCTGTTCATCTGTACATATAGGTATGGGCTCATCTGCACCTATAGTTACATTCTCATCTTTGCCTTCAACAACTCTGACATTCTGACTTGATAGTCACGGTATTTTAAAGCAACCATTAAATCTTGCCTCCTGGAGATGCTTTCAAAAGTCTCTGACCCCCAAACAGGGGCACTTCTGCTGAACTAACCCTCCTATAAATGAGAGAAAAATGCATCATCTTTTAAAGAACATGCCCAAATGTGCAACTCTGATATTAATAAAAATAACCCACTTTTCTCAGGAGACTTTGCTAATGCAACCTCATTTTTTGCACATTTTGCCGGAGAGCTTTTGTTCTTATACGTCTCTATTCTCCCCCTCTTTAATTTGTTGCAGGTGTTGTTGCTAATGAGCTCTCTCTCTCCTCCCCTCTTACAATGAAAGACAAGCCAGACCCCAGGTACCTGGATGGATTGAGAGCTGAGATCTCAGAAACTTCATAATAAGTTGCCGATGGCTACCAGCCAAGGTCAGCTGAGCCCCATTAGTGCCGGCCCCCACCAAAGCAGAGCCAAATAGCCTTCTCCCCGGTTAGCACCTCAGTAGCTTTTTATTCTAGTCCAGTCACACAGCTGTTGCCACCTTAAGCTCATATGAAAGAAATCTCTTTTATTGGTCTGAGAACCCAAGTCCAGTCCCAAAGAGGGAACATGTTTCCAGCTAACATGTCCACCTCCTGATTTTATTTTATCTTTGCAATGCAGGCTGGAGGGTTATTTTGCAGTGGTGTTGAGCACGTCACCCATTAAGAGCCCTTTAAAGACCTGGATTGATTGGAAGGACAAAAATTAAAAGCAATCTGATCCGGCCTCATGCAGGATCCCTGCGGATTTTCTCCTTATCCCATTTCCATCCACTGTCACAATTTGAGAGTCCGCCTGATTTGATCAGATTCACCTCCGGGGGAGGTGTGATGACAAGGTTAGGAGGACGTGAAGTTGTGGGCAACTTTCTGATCTGTCCATCAGCAGTCTGAGAAACACTGGCTCTGAATTTTCTGTATCGGCCTTTTGGAAACAACAAGTTCCTCGCTGTTTGCAAAGCTTCAGTGCTTGGGTCCCTGGGACACCCGGCCACCCTCGCCTGGTAGATGTGGCATTTCCATGCTGAGGCCACAAGTCCCGCCTGACCCCGTCGCTGCCTCTCCAGGGCTTCTCTGGGCCGCGCCCCTGCGGACTGCGCAGCCATGCTGCACCTGCTGGCGCTCTTCCTGCACTGCCTCCCTCTGGCCTCTGGGGACTACGACATCTGCAAATCCTGGGTGACCACAGATGAGGGCCCCACCTGGGAGTTCTACGCCTGCCAGCCCAAGGTGATGCGCTTGAAGGACTACGTCAAGGTGAAGGTGGAACCCTCGGGCATCACGTGTGGAGACCCCCCTGAGAGGTTCTGCTCCCATGTAAGTCCACTTACTGCTCTTTTGCTTGCCCAGGTCAAGTGGGAGGAGGTCTGGAGTAGATCCTTGGGGTGGATGAGCAGAGCTGGGGGACCGAGATGCAAGGCTGACTTTCCTGCCTCTTGACCAGGTATGGACCAGACCTGGACCAGGTCTCTGTCCCACCTTGGAAATGTGTCAAAACAGAGGCCACCCTGAGGACACTGGGGTCATGTGACATTGTTCTCTGGGGTAGGGGCATTCTCGGCCAGCTGGCCACTAGATTAGTTCCCTTGGGAAGCCCATAGTATTTGGCTCCCCAGCCTTGAGGGTAAGCCCCACCTCCTGTGTAGGAAGTCAGCATTCTGGGCGAGTGAGCGAGATGCTACCTGCAACATGATACCCCTCTGTTCATCCTTTCTGCGGTGCAACCTCTTAGCCCACTCAATCCAATCCAGCAGACTGTACCATGAAGCTAGAGCATGCCAAGCACTGAACTGGCCCTTTGCATGGGGAGGTTTGACGGAGGCTCAGAGGGGATTCATGAAGGAGGAAGTTGGGGGTCAGGCCGGGACAGACAGTACAGCTGGGTCCCCTTCCAGTTCCATTCCTACATGCAATGGCGATAGCCCCCGGGTAAGTCCAGGAAGGCAGACATTCAGGCGTTGTCCCTTGCCTCCCTAGTTAGAGAAGGAGTAGTCCTAGGGGCACGGAGTACTTCAGTACTCAAGTAATGTTAACAGCAACAACAACAGCAGAGATAGTTGCATGTGAGCTGCCTGAGTGTGTGGGCTGAGCCTGATGCCATTGCCAGGAGTCCTCCCTTCAGCCAGCCAGGTGGATTCTGTGTTGTATAAAGAAGGAGCGTCAGGGGAGGGCTCTGACCCAGTGACGTCTGTGGGCTTCTGTTCTGTCATCTGCCAAATGGGCACACTAAGAGCACACGCTCCTAGGATCATTGTGAGGAGTCTGTGGTTTAATTAATGTAGGTAAAGGGTTCGGAATAGGACCTGGCACAGAGTAAGCGCATGCAGATGTTAGCCATTGTCATTCCGGTCATACAGGTGGGGTAACTGAGGCAGTCCAGGGGTGGTGGGTGAAGGCATCTGGCCAAGGTCACGCTCCAGGAGGTGGCGAAGCTGTGATTCCAGCTTAGAGTGGCTCCAGTGTCTCTGAGCTAAGCTGCTTCCCGCTGGGCAGTGCTTTGGAGACCGTCCCTGAGGGCAGGGCAGAGCCGGGTAGGGCAACCAGGCTGCAGGAACTCACAGGAGGGGGGTGATGCCATCCCCCAGGCAGCTTGTGCCTCTGCGTGTCCTTGGAGGAGCCTCCAGGTCTCCGGGCTTATGGTGGGGCTGACCCGGTGCCCCCACCTCGGAGTCCTGAGGACTCAATCTCATGGGTCGGCTTTGCTCACATCATAGGGCAATCAGCCCGAGAAGGTAGCTTCTTACTTGGGCTTGTCAGTGGCGATGAGGCTGTCGTTGTGGGTGGTGGCTGGGCCAGGGCCAGCTGGAGAGAGAGGGAGGGAGGGAGGGAAGGAGAAGGCGGCACGAAGCCAGGAGCTGGGGCTGGATAGTCTGTGGTCATAACTGCCCCGGGGACCGCAGGGCCAAGCAAGGGGGCTGGGCTCTGGAAGCCAGGAGGAAGGCCAGGATGGGGGCTGGTGCTCCGTCCACATCTCAGAATCGGTGGGAGGGTTCTCCACACACTCCCGGACACAGTCAACCTCTGTCTCGTATTAGAGTCTTGACTGTATTTTTTCTCTTAAATATTAATCACTACCTCAATGTGCTTGGGGGAGCAGTTAAATCATAATTCTAGGACCAGCTTCGGGTTGAGGGCTTGAGGTGGGGAGATGACCCTCAGAGGCAAGTCTGAGGCCCTCTCCTGGCCAAAGCTGGCTAGGATGTCATTGGCCCTGGACCTCTGCCCCGCCCCCACCCTCAGGCAGAGAACCCAGCGCAGTGGGCAGCTGCCCTGGGGAGGTGGTCACTCCTCCCAGTCCCAGTGCCGGCAGAGCCTCATCCCAGGCAGCCATCCTCAAGCCCTGGGGTCTGGAAGGGTGCGCTCTCCCATCCTACCCCCTGCTCCTCTCCTGGGCAGACAGGTGGGGAAGGCAGGGGAGAAAGAATAGTCCCTCCACAATCTACCACATGGGCGAGTCCTCAGTGTCTCGCCACCTGTTTGATGGACTTAAATATTTCATCATGGGCTGCCATCCGGCTCTGCTTTGATTACAAATGTGCGTCCGATGAGGATGGGGAGGCCAGCGTGGCAGGCTGCTGGCTTTTGGAGGGCTGGCTTTTGGAGGGGATGGTTACTTCCAGACAGATCTAGGTTCAAACCCTGATGTCACAGTTTATTGTGGCTTCCCTGGGAGGGTCTGGGCAGGTCTCATTTAATCATCTCTAGGATGCTCTGAGGTGGGTCCTAGTCTAATCTCATCTTAGGGATTAGAAAATGTTGCCTAAATCCTGCCAAGGTCACTTTGTTGAGAAGGCAGGCTGGGAACTGCCTGTGGCCAAGGCCCATGCCCACCCACCAGGTGGCACAGCCTCCCCTCTCTCAACTTCTGACCTCTCTGAGTTTCACTGTCTTCCTCTGCCCAGTAGAAGCCATAATGTAGGAGTGTCACGGTGCTGGTGGGACAGCACAGCCCGGCCATGCTGCCATGGTACACACGGACACATAGTAGGTATTCAATGTGCAATACTAGTCACTGGCTTATTACTGTTGTGATTATGGCCTCGGTGACTTTCCTGGCTTCTCTACTTCCCCGGAGTCCTTTGCCTCTCCCCAGCCTTGGGGACGCCACGCCTTGTATTTCCAGTCTCTGGCAGCAGGTGGAAGATGCAGGCTGGGGGAGCTTCCACGCCTGCAGCCCCAGCAGCTGTTGTTAACCAGCCACCAGGGGGCGCCCTAATGGCGGCCAGATGCCCACTGCCCCCCTTAGCCTTGCCATCACCCATGGGTCCTTGCTCTCCTTCGCCCCTTCTGCAGCGGGTGCTAGGTGTGTCCTAACATCCAGCCTACGGGAGCGCAAGCCTGGCTGCACTCTGAGGGTACAAGAGGGGCCCAGGGGCGGACGGCCTTTTCAGACGCAGGATGCAGACCCTGTCTCTCTCCCAGGCTTCTTGTCCTTCAGCAAGGCCACCTGAGAACTGAATTGTAAATTCCAGCCTTGCAAGGAAGGGGAGGAGGCTGAAAGACAAGATAAATGAATAAATAAAAACCTATTGGCTCTAAATGCACAATGAGAATTAATAGGGATGAGCTCTCAACTGAGGATTCTTGGGCAAGGACAAAATTGCAATGAGGGCTGTGGGAGAAGAGAAGCCGCCCCCACCCAAATTCCCAGGGCCTGCCCCAGAAGTCAGCCCGGCAAGGCTGCGGGCCAGGGAGGAAGCAGGAAGGGCGGCGGGCAAAGGCGTCCCAGCCCCTCACAGGGTAACTGCTGCGTGCAGGACCCCTTCGAGATGGGGAGGGCATGACTGGCATTGGGAGATACCCCTTAGCACTCTGCAAGGCAGGGCTCCCGCCGGCCACCTGTGCTCCCCGTGACAGGAAGGGGGAAACCCTTCCTTTGTGCCTTGGAGACAAAAGCTAGCCACCCGAGACTCAGGGGCAAGCTGACGGGCAGGAGAGAGAGGTGGAGAGAGCTACTGCCCAGGCAGCCTCACCTTGATAGAGGTGCAGAATCCTAGACTCCGCCCCACACCTGCTGAGCCAGAATCTGCCTTTCAACAGGAAGTCTCTGGAGTGCTGGGGTGGGATTGGTCCATGGTGGTGGATGAAGCCTGTCATTGACAAAGTGGCCGGAGGTCTGTGGGTCCCATGGGGTCTGCGCAGGTTAAGGGGAGGGCATTGCTGAGGGGAGACAGGAGCCAACAGGAGAGCAGCAGGGGTCCTGGGAATGGGGGGATGGAGCTGGGAGCCTCGCTTGCCAAGGCGGGGCGGGGGATCTGTGCTTCTGAACAGGAGCCAGTGGAAGGTACCCAAGAGAGGCAGCACTAGCTCCTGACAGGAGCTACAGGCCTGGAATCTGAAGCCCTGAGCTCACATCCCAGTGTTGTCACTTGGGGGCTGGGTGGTCTGAGGTGAGTCATTGAAATGCTCCACGCCTCAGTTTCCCTATCTGTAAAAGGGGTATGATCGTGACTGCCTTGCCCACCTCACTGACTTCCTGGGAGAGGAAATGCCTCTCACAACATACCGGAAGGTGCTTGGCGGAGACTGTAAGTTCTGTTCTAGTGTGAGGCTTGAATATTATTGTTTATCCAATCTTGATAAGCTTGATGTTTCCACAATGACATGGGTGAACATTCGAATTTCCGCCATGTTGGAGTCTCCAGCATACAGAGGCACCTTGGCTTTGGTGGACAGGAAAACCGAGGGCAGGCTGTGAACGTGCATCTTCGAACACACATCTTACTCAGTTAGAACCTGCTTTAGCTTCCCTGTGCCTCAGTTTACCCAGCTGCAGAGCAAATGGTTCCATTCCTCCCCCAGGGGGTCTGCTGGGCTGATGAATACAGTTGGCAGGCAGGTACCGGAGTCCTCGAGCCACTCCGCACCGTGACATTGAACACCACATGCAGAATCAAGGTCATAGACTCTCTGCCTCCTGCCGGACCTCATGAAATCATGATCATGAAATGTTTCCATCCAACAATGCAGAGCTGACCAGCCTGATGGCTCGGGCCTCCTTCCCCCTCTGTGTTTCTGGCCGCAGCCTCCCTCCTCTCGCCATCTCACCCCTCCAGTTGGTAGGTGTTTCCAGGTCTGACCTCATGCCAGGCGCAGTTGTGATGGGAAAGTGAGATGACTAGAGAGAACTGAAGCGAAAAATGAGAGAAAACACAACAGACATTGAAGACAATGCCCAGCTAACAACAAATGGTGACACCGGCACCTGATATGACAGGAGCTGGGGAAGGAGGAGGGCGTGCCCCCGCCCATGAGCTCTCCCAGCCGCTCCAGCCTTGGCCCGTGCTGTCTCCTCCACCCGAATGCCTGCCCCTTCC